TGACTTGATCCAGTTAGGGCTTAACTTTAGCTGCTTGTCTAGCCTAAAAAACAGTTTACTTTTTGCAGGGACGGACTTGAAGGTTCCCTGCGTATTGTTTTTCAATAAAAGACACACTGATCGGCACTTGCACTTACTTGTAGTTATCTGTAAATTTCTTTTTAGGGATGGGACTTGGTTAGATGAAGTAGACCTCAACTTGAATTTCGATACTTGAAAATCAGAACAAAAAGGTCTTCAACTAAAGTACCAGATAAACTATGACAAATTTTATGTTTAATTTCTGTCGTTTATTAACTTAATTATGCGATAGTAAAAATTCATATACCCATCCTATACCCCACCTATAGCGTTGACTTGACTAACACTCACGGAAAATGTAACTGTAGGACCGATGCACAGAATAATAAAGAGTTGATGGACCATTTGGAAAAATAATTTAGTTGAGGGACCAAAATGCAACTCGGGTATAAATGTGAGGACCATTTGAGTTAAAGACCTTTAAGAGAGATTACATGAGCCTCAACTAAACCAACATCTTCCATTGCAAACTAAGTAGGGCAACCATAAGAAATGAAAACCAAAGCGAAAGAAAGATAACATAGAAAAAGAGCCACAAATAAAAGGATTGTGACAAGAATTCAAGTAATTTCCTTGGTGTTTTTATTATCGATATACAAAGAGTGTTCCATTCTTAAGAAGCACAGCAGGTCACATTTAGCATAACTTGTTCATTTCAGCCTTTGAACTGCTAGCATGGCTTGAGTTTCCTCATTCCACATGTGAAAGACCCCCCCACCTTCAGCCTTTGTCCTGCAAACAACAAAACATCAGTTCTTTTCTCCACTGGCAAATAGCCTCGAATTCATTCGACAATACATGAAATTCTACAGAGTTTTACTGATAAACCCACAAGGTGTAACCCAACCTACATTTCTTTGAAAAAGACCAATTTTTCCTTTCCACAAGGATAATGAAAGCTTATAGATTCTTGGGGAAAGGTAATGACAATGAAGGTAAGCCCAAGCAAACAACTTAATGCATTGGGCTTTTCATACTACCAAACCTTCAGACCTATGCCCACAAGCCCACACCATCCAACACCAACTTAATTTACAAATATACCCTAAAACCCCCAAAACCCTAAGACCTAGAACCTTCTATCGTCTACTAGAACTTGATCGCCAAGTAGTTCCCCTCCTCCCCAAACCCACATGTTTTAAAAGAAAGATCAGCAATCGCCCTCTTCCCCAAAGAAAAACCCAAATCCAATCTGAGCCAACAACAGTAGCAGTTTCAGAAACAGAGGCACAAATGGCTAGACGTTTGATCCCAACCCTCAACCGTGTCCTGATTGAGAAAATCATCCCACCCTCTAAAACCACCGCCGGCATTCTCCTCCCCGAGTCATCCACCAAGGTAAATACTACCATTTTCTTCTTAAAATGTGTCTCTGAGTAAATTGTCAATGATTGATGACTTTGTGTGGGTTTTAATTTATATGGGTGTGTACAGCTAAACTCAGGGAAGGTGGTTGCTGTGGGACCAGGAGCCAAGGATAAGGCTGGGAATGTGATTCCAGTGGCTGTGAAAGAAGGTGATACAGTTCTTTTGCCTGAGTATGGGGGCACCCAAGTCAAGCTTGGTGACAAAGAGTAAGTCTTTTTGTTCTTTGTTTGCTCTGTTTTGCCATTATATGTTTTAGGGGTTTCTTCCATTTATGACGTTTGGTTTGGGTTTTTGGTGGGTTTGGTGTTGTGCAGGCTCCATTTATACAGGGATGAGGACATCTTGGGCACTCTCCATGAATGAGTCATTGGATTGGATAGTATGTTTTTTTTTTAAGGTATTGCTATTCAATTTGAGGGTCAGATGTAACTGATTAATTAGCGGATTGGAATTTCTCATGGATGTTAGTTTTCTTTGAAATGAACTAATGGAAGCCCCTATCAATCTATTTATTTCAATCTTCTGTTAGGTTTGGATTTTTGCACTGGAAATTATGGGCAAAATTTAGAAATAATTTTGTATCTTTTTGGTTGCTATGCTAAACTCAAGGGATTCACCCAACACATGCTGCAATTATAACCAAAATGTGATTTATAAAGTAGCTTAGATTGCGATTGGAGTTTGAAAATTCTTCTTGCTTTCATATCCTGGACATCTTTCTTTTATAAAATGGGATTTGATTTCCGCAATTGTTTCAAATGTGGTGTGTTTTCGGTCAAATGTGTCCTCTTGATTTATTAGGAAAGCTGCGTGATGATAATTGATGCAAATTAATTCTCCTAATTATGCGTACGTACTGTGTTTCAAAGCTGGTCTATTCTGTTTACTCTGTTTCCATCCGCATCATGGTTCATGGGGACCCCATGTATGTACAAATAAGATTCTGCATCTGTGTCTTGCATGCATGAGGTATGTTCATTTTAAATGTGCAAGCAAACACCATAATTTACTTATTACGTTGTGATTTGAATTGGATAACATAATTCCTTGCCCTTTCCTTTGATTTTCATGGAAATGCTATAATGAATGGTGTGATGAACTCCACGTTGAACCCCCTCACCAAATTACCTCATTATGTTCTGGATTGGATTTCCAATCTGAAAATCAATTGGGCCTTAAATTTGCCGTGGCATGTGTGTTTAAATCGCATGTTATGGTCCACTGAAAAGTTCTCAATGCTTCTGTTATGTGAGCCCAATTCCCACAGAGAGAGAGAGAGAGAGAGAGAGAGAGAGAGGTAGCTTTCAATATCAATTCTGGCTTGCTGATTTATTTATGGTAGCCTTGTCTTGTGGGATTTCTGGATTTGTATTCTGATTCTCACAACACCGTTTTTCTCCTTTAGTTCCTCTCAGCATCCTCATCCATGTAAATTACTTCTCGTCTTTTTCTATATTTTTTTTGGACGAAATCTTTTTCTAGTTCCTTCTCGTCTTTTTCTAGTTCCTTCTTATCTAATAAGGTTAATTAGTGATGGCTCTTTCCTCAAAGTTCCAACTACTACTCTATTAGGAGTTGATTAAAACGTTTAAAATGTCTCTTATGGAAGTGGAAAATGCGTTTGCGAGGGGTTTTAGTCTTTAAGATATATTTCAATTATCATTTCCAAGTTGAACTGAAAATCGTTGTAGTTTGTTTTATAATGTTCCATCCTTTTCACCCCTCTTATTTGTATCTCCATCTTCATTCATTTGAATGAAAAATATCAGCAAATGGGGTTAGACCAGTTGACCAGGGCGTTGAGTCTGTGCTCTTGAACCCAAGTTCTCCTTCTCCTTCTCGTAAACTTGATTGATAATTTAAATTATTACTCGTATAAAAACAAAATTATAAAAGAAATACCCGCAAAAAATGATCAAACGGTTCCTGCACCTGTCACTTTCCAATTTCCGTCTGTAAACGTGAATGTTGAACACCACAAGCCAGACATAAGCTTCAATGTTAGAAATTAAAAGCTGGCAATGAAGGGGAGCGGGTCCATGTGGATTACATACATTACCTTACGTTTTCCCAACTTTATGAGTTGGATCCCAACATATAAGAGGACGAGTACAAGAGGTAAGTAGCTAACTCATCCACCCATTTCTAGAGATCTCGTTTGTTGGTTGGGGCTACTTTTATTTTCCCAACTCCTTTATAATTGGAAAATCTTTTTTCTTGACAGGATCCTTTAAATTTTGCCTATATGGCGCATGGCCCATATTTTCTGCTCCCAATGTAAATGTAACACATATTTAATGTAAACGAAATCATACGGTAATTTCCATTACACTAAAATTAAAAAACCAAGTAAAATATAATTTCCATGTCACATTATTGGCATACATATGAATGATACAACCAACTAGTGCCACAGCCAATTTGTTTTTTATTTATTTATTTAAAAAGCATGGCCATTTGAGTGGTAATATCCGAATAAAGTAATATTCCAAATTTCAAGACTTTTTTTTGGGGCCCTAATAAAGTTACTATGTCAAACATCCCCCCAATAGCACCTCATTATGCCACGTGCCCCTCCCCAACCAAAGGTAGATCCTATTTTAAAATAAACAAAAAGGAGTAAATAATTAGAGAAAAACAATAGGACAACCCTTCTACAGCGCGCACAATTACTTGTACCGGGAGGCACGATATCTCTTTTTATACTGCGATTAATTATTACTATTTTGCAGTTTCCCCCTTAAAAAAGAATCGAATAAACAAAGTAATTTGTTATTGTAAAGTTATCCATGGTTAATAAAATAATAAAACAATGAAAAATAGAAATAATTTTTATTTCATAATTCTCTATAGGGAGTATTTTTGCTTACCACTTTAATCAAGGTGTACTATCATCACCATTTTCAACACTTGATATGTGTCCATTAACATAATAATGGTTCTATAAATACAAAGTAAAGAATTAACTATGATTAATGAAAACGTGTCAAGTATTAAGAAAGATGATGAGGATACACATTAAGTTAAAGTGGTGTGGAAAAATATTTCCGTTATGTGTATTATTAGATAACAACAATAATAAATGTTGACCCTATCCGATAAAGAATGTTGATATTTCACATGAGGGTATATTGCTCTAATCTAATTTGTTTACCCAAAAAACAGAAACATATAGCATGGATGGATATTTATATTTGTGATATTCAGAGAAACGTATCTCTAAAGAATCTCTGGATCCATTCCACATATACAAGTAATTTGTGGTGCAGTCAACTTTTTGCCATTTTCCTGATAATCATCAGGAATTTCCCATTTTGATAAGTGGTCTCTTTTCTTCTTCTTTTTTCCCGCCCCCCACCATCTTTCACCAAAAACCATCATGTCAAATGCATTCAATCTTAATCAACATTGATTAGCATAATCCTCTCATTGCATCATCTTATCAAATTAAATAAATCCTCATTGCATTTATTTATGCTAAATAGATTTGACAACACTTGACATAGCTTTGAAAGAAAAAAAAAAAACTTTCAATTGGCTTTGGTCTTCTAGGCATTATTTTTGCGACAAGTCATCCTCATTTCAAAGCAAAAACAAAAAAACAAAAAAGAAAAAAGAAAAAAGAAAAGAAAGAAGCCCTTGTCATCCCTGAGAGGAGAAGCACGTGCACGCCCAACTCATTCTTGTTCGAATCTATTGCATTTCAATACAAACACTTCTTCTTTCTCTTTCTTCTTTTCTGTGTCCACCTTCTCTCCCCCAACGTTTTCTCAGAAGAAACACAAACACACAAACAGAAATAAAAAGAAAAAGAAAAAAAAGACAGAGAGAGAAGGCCACATGACGTAGTACATAGAGAGAGGGAGAAAGAGAGAGAGCGCAGCAGAAATCCCAATGCACCCATACAATCGGCTACCGAGTAGCGGACATAACAGCCCATCGCCGCCGCCTTCGCCGCTCCGCTCCCCCCGGTTCAGACACAGCCGGTCCAAAGCAGGTGGCCGGTTCAACCAGCCGGGTCGGACCCTAATCCAGCGCATCGTCTGGCACCTCCTCTCCGTTCTCATCCGCCGCCAGGGGTTCTTCCTCTTCGCCCCTCTCCTCTACATCTCCGGCATGCTCCTCTACATGGGCTCCGTTTCCTTCGAGGTCGTTCCCGTCATTTCACATCGTCCTGCTCCCGGCTCCGTTTACCGCAGTCCCCAACTCTACGCCAAGCTCCGACCCGAAATGGATGCCGATAACTCCTCCGCCGATGCGGTGCGTTTCGTCTCGTCATTCCTTCCCTTTTTGTTGCCCGATTTACTCTTTGAGATCTTGTCCAATAATTGTTTTCCAGCATTACATGATTTCGAATTTCAATCAATCTGTTTTTTTGTTTTTGTTTTTCATTTGACATAATTTCAGGACGAAAATCAATCATGGCAAAGTTATTCTGATTTAGACTACATAGGATTGCTTGGCGTTCCTTACTACCTTGTTTAGTAATTAGTACTATATCGGCCATCCTCCTGCTTATGCTTTAACCTGGAGATTTGGAATCTTTGCGTAAACGAACTATGAATGTGAACAATCAATCTTCAAATTTGCAGATAATCAACCTATTGTCTTTTAATCAATCCTGCCTTTATTACTTGGACATACTCATTTTCTTTCTTTGTGCAGAAATTTGACTTATTGCTATTTATACAACAAATAAGTAATTCATCATTGAGATAAAATGACAGGAAAAAGATATAAAAAAACTAAGCTATTACATGGAAGCATTGCATACAAGTGGGATTTGAAAAAATTGTTTCTTATTTTTCTTTTTGAATCTTCCCTTGTTTCTCTCCCTAGTTAGGCCACTCTTAGAGATCTTCGAATTTCTCGATGTAGTTATGGCTTAGAAATTGGTTAATCGAAAGGAAGGGGATGTAATGAGGTAAAATACAGTCGGTTAACCTTGTTCCTCATTCCCTGGCTGCTCTGCTATTGTCTGATTTTATCTGCCCCTCCTATGCATCCATTCCAACTCGCTGACAATCTGTCAAATTCTATGCAGATCTCAACTGTATGGAAACATTCCTATAAAGGTGCTGAATGGAGACCGTGTGTAAACAAGTCCTCTGGAGGTACGAGTTACCACAACTAGTTCTTGCAGTTTTATATGATAATGGCTGCTGGTATACCTTTTTTTTTCCTACGCTGGAAACTGCAAGCTTAATTCATACTCCCCCTTCCTTTTTGATATTTCCATACTGTAACATTATATCATTTCATTTACTTTTTAGATAGGCACATTTATATGTTGGTTTCCATCTTCATATGAGTTCCGAACTTGATCATTTGGTTGCTTTTTCGTAGGTTTGGCAGAGTCAAATGGTTATATATACATTGAGGCAAATGGTGGTTTAAATCAGCAGAGGACTTCAGTAAGTTTAATTCCTCGTTTGGTTGCATATTTCTTTTCTTGTTTGTGTTTGTGCTTTGCCTATTCTGTTCTGAATATTATTATTTGTAACAACTTTCTTGACTCCTTGATACATGGTTGTTGTTGATTCTTTCTAGATATGCAATGCAGTTGCTGTTGCAGGATATCTTAATGCAACACTTGTAATTCCCAATTTTCATTATCATAGCATCTGGAGAGATCCAAGGTTTGTCAACACTTATCATTTTGATGTTGTGTTTGTAGGATCAGGGTGCCTAACAATGAATATCCATATCTATGAACCCTCCCAGGGTATTGAAATTTGCAACTAAAATATGAGGTACATAATAGCAAACAAATCTGAGGTACATAAAAAACAGTGTGTGAATTTTGGCAGTGTCGTCTATGCATCTTGACTTATCTGAAAATTTGACTTGATTCAGTCAACCCTTAAACGCAAAAAGAAGAAAGCTGAAGGATGGATAAAAGTGTAAAGATACATTATAAGATAGAAGGAATAAAGTGACATAAGGTGCTAATACAGCATTTTATTTTCTTTTGGGTTGGCATGAATGCTGCCTCACATATATTCTGTTTGTATGGTTGTACCTTGCTTAAAACCTCGTAGCTTTATGAGGAGTTTTCTGTTGAACTGATACGAATATTGTATTTACGATTTCATTGTCGCATAAACTGGACTCAGATTTTCTTCTTCTTTTATTTTCAGTAAATTCAGAGACATCTATGATGAAGATTATTTCATCAGTATGTTGGAAAATGATGTACGCGTAGTTAACAAGGTTCCTGAATATTTAATGGAACGATTTGACCACAATTTAAGCAACGTATACAACTTCAGAATAAAAGCATGGTCTCCCATTCTGTATTATAAGGATGCAGTTCTCCCAAGGTTACTTGAAGAAAAGTGAGTGAGAAAATTTTAACTTCAGTTGGTCCCTTTATTTATTTATTTAAAGTTACTTTCATTATGTTGTCGTGGTACATGTTGTGCTAAACAGTGAAACTTTGCTTCTACATGAGCTATGGTTTAGTAGTTTCTATTGCACAAATGGTGTATTTGTCAAAAAAGGGGGGAGAGGGGGGAGGGAGAATATGGAGGAAAAAATATAGGGTCTGTAAAATCTGTTGTGTTGCTTGTCCTAGTCATTTAATCTGTTAAAGAGTTGCCTTAGGTATCAACACTACTTGTGTGCAAGTAGAGGTTGTAAATTTCGACCTCAACCTACCGACCCACCTGAATCTGATGATTTTGGGATTGATACTTCTTTGCTGTTTTCTATCCAATCCAAATTCTTCTTGGTAGATGAGTTTGATTAAACTTGTCAATGTGACCTCAACCTGATTACTGTTCATCGATTATTGATTAATTCTTTATATTGTTTTATAACTGTTTTAAATGAGATCCAGTAACTATATGTTCTGTTTTATTCGGCAATAAAATTTGAATAAGCATTGCTAAAAATAGTGTTAAATACTTAAAAAATTTATGGTATATGGAAGTGAACTAATATTGACTGTTATACAGGTTTTGCAAGAATTGTACTTTGTTATTGTTGTATCCAGTGCAGATTATGGAGATACTTATTGTTGCATCAATTTTGTGAAAATGGGCGTGGCATGATTCATGCAATTCTTGTACAAAACGATGCTTAATGTTGGTTATATTTATGGACAAAACAGGGTTATAAGGATTTCTCCTTTTGCAAATCGATTGTCATTTGATTCTCCTCCTGCTGTTCAACGGTTAAGATGCCTGGCAAATTATGAAGCTTTAAGGTTTTCAAGTCCTATATTAACTTTGGGAGAAACTTTGGTTGCAAGAATGAAAGAACGCAGTGCAAATTATGGTGGCAAATATATTTCGGTGCATCTTCGGTTTGAAGAGGTTTGTCTTGATCAGCTATTAGTGTAGTATAATTAACTTCTATTTAACCTCCATGAAGAAAATATCATCTTCCTTTAAGAAGTGGAATAACTGATCTCCCATGTGTAGGACATGGTTGCATTCTCTTGTTGTGTTTTTGATGGTGGAGAGCAAGAAAATGAAGACAT